TAGATATATATATATATATATATATATATATATATATATTCCATCTAATATTTATATCTTATTTTAGCTTTAGTTCAATTATAAAAAATATTTTAAATAGTTTCAGTTTTAGTTAACGATAATAATCCTGCACAAAAGCACTTATTTTGATATTTTGTGCATGCAGTGCAGTAACTTTCAATCATTTTTGAGTGTTGCTTAGGTGTTCTCATATTTTGCATGTTTCTTTGCATTTCTTTTTGCATTTGGCATGTTTTACGCTAAAACGAATCCTCTTAGAATGCAGTAACTCTAGTAATCATACAGCACTTGAGGAAGTATGTAAACAAATTACGATAAATAAGTGTTTGATTTGCTTGTCTCCACAATCTCCACAACCCTGTGTCAGCATCGGAAACGTGGAGAGAGAGCTATGGAAAGAAAGATGGAGAGAGAAATAGAAGAACATTTTCTGCTCTACCTGAGAATAAGGAATAATGAAGTGTGTCTGGGCAGTAAAACGACCCAGCGCTAAACTGATGAGTTTAACCCAGCACCGAGAGTGGCAGTAAACATGACAAATGTTGGCTATTGATTTAAAGCTTAATTACTGCATGCAGTGCTGACAAAACCCGTCTGATGCACCTCTGAAATGTAAATGGGACAAATTACACTTCATTGGCCATAAGAAACTGATGGTGTCTGCACTTTGCATCCTACTGCTTTTCTACTCACTGAGCGTCTGACTTCATCAAGTAAACAAGCTACATGAGAATATGATGAGGGGAGAGAAAAAACCCAATTCAGTTTGTGAGGAAGTCACAGTGGAGTGTGTCCATAAGTGCAAGATACATTTAACGCATCTCGACTGATCGTGTAAGGAAATGCACAACTGTTTAAAATGTTATGAGGTTATAATCCGTGTTGTACAGTAAGTCAAAGCAAAAAACCCTGTTTACTTGCTTTATTCACATTCCTGGTCTTACTGAGATCAATTAATCGGTGCTAGTTATTCCAACCGGAAAAAAATATAATAAAAAAAATATATAATAATTTGTTGTTCCACACTGCACTTTTTTTCATTGAATATTCACTCAGAAATACTTTACACTATGGAAGTAAAATGGGTTGTAAACACATGTGTAAGTGTAATTTGACATTGACCTTAATGGAGTGAGCAATGCAAAGGTCATGGCATTGATTCCCAAGGAATACAAATGCGGATGAAACTGTTGCTTTGGATAAAAGCAGCTCCCAAGTGCAGACAGATGGGACTGATGAAGATAAATGTATTTATTTGAATGCTATTCAATTTATTAAATAAATTCTAAAATAAAGAAAGGTCTAAAATCTGAAAATCAATCTATGAATAGCATATATATATATATATACAGTGGTGTGAAAAAGTGTTGGCCCCCTTCCTGATTTCTTATTTTTTTTGCATGTTTGTCACACTTTAATGTTTCAGATCATCTAACAAATTTAAATATTACACAAAGATAACGCAAGTAAATACAAAATGCAGTTTTTAAATGATGATTTCATTTATTAAGGGAAAAAAGCTGTCCAAACCTACGTGGCCCTACGTGAAAAATTAATTGCCCCCTCCTGTTAAATCATGAAAGAACTGTGATTAACCACATTATTTTATAAAGCTGAGTTAAATTTCACTAGCCACACCCAGGCCTGATTACTGCCAGACCTGTTGAATCAAGAAATCACTTAAATAGAACCTGTCTGACAAAGTGAAGCATGCTTAAAGAGCAACACTTCATGCCGCGATCTAAAGAAATTCAGGAGCAGATGAGAAACAAAATAGTTGACATGTATCAGTCTGGAAAGGATTATAAAGCCATTTCGAAGGCTTTGGGGTAGAGAAATTAACATTCAATTCACGGGCAACAGCTCTGGTGGACATTTTTGCAGTCAGCATGCCAATTGCACACTCCCTCAAAATTTGCGACATCTGTGGCATTGTGCTGTGTGATAAAACTGCACATTTTAGAGTGGCCTTTTATTGTGGCCAGCCTAAGGCACACCTGTGCAATAATCATGCTGTCTAATCAGCATCTTGATATGCCACACCTGTTAGGTGGATGGATTATCTCGGCAAAGGAGAAGTGCTCACTAACACATATTTAGACAGATTTGTGAACAATATTTGAGAGAAATAGGCCTTTTGTGTACATAGAAAAAGTCTTAGATCTTTGAGTTCAGCTCATGAAAAATGGGGGCAAAAACAAAAGTGTTGCGTTTATAATTTTGTTCAGTGTGTGTGTATATATATATATATATATAGAGAGAGAGAGAGAGAGAGCGCAAATTCAATTTATTTTTCTTAATCTACCACCAATTTGTTCTTTTCTTATTTTATGAAAGTGTTCATTTTCATATTTTAAACATAAACCTTACTAAATTTGCCTTATATGCCTTATCTGTTTCCACCTCAGACAAAAAAAAAAACATTAAATAAAAAATAAAATAATAAACAAAATAAAACAGGTAATTGTGAGAGAAATTTTGAAATAAGAAATAGTCATATTGTGAGATTGATACAGTTTAAGTACATGAAATAAAATTTCAATTAGGCAATTAAAAAAACAAAAAAAATCTTAACTATGAGATATGACATTGCAAGTTATCTTTAAGACATAAAGCCAAAATCACAATTATGGTTTTATTTTTAATGTTCACTTCCATATAATCATGTCTTTTATGAACAAATCAAGAAAAAAAATCTGTGTATCCAAAAAACAAAAAGCCTTTTTCTAATAAGCGTATCCCTCTCATCTAAAACACATGACGCTGCGGTCGTCATCCGGTGTTGTGCGTCACTATCTATATTTCCTATGTTCATTAACATCTCATGACTGTGACGTCCCAACGATGCGCCTCAGGTCAATCGAAGGCACTCTTGACACAGTCTCTCTTTGTTGGAAATGTTTAAAGTCGAATCGTTTCTGCGATGAATTTGTGCTGCTTTATTGTTTCCTGTGAGAAGTCTAAAGAGACTCTCTGCTCTGCTGCCCTGCAGCAAGTTAATGGCAGACTGGCTCTATGAGGGAGGACTTTTAATTCGGCTCCTGTCTCGCACCAACAACTTGTTTGGAGTTTGCTGCTTCTGCGCGCATGGCGGATTAAGCCCCATTGCCTTTTCTTGTTTTGAACTAATGCATTCTTGATCACCGTTTAATGAAACTATATACCACATGGCGATTTCACATTAGATAAGCCATGTGAGACTTTCATCAGGCGCCGGGCTCTGACTGAGGCCATAATCCCGAAACTCAACTTCCCCAATAAATAGCTTTTCCCTCCGAAAATGAAGTGATAATACGTGGGTTTCATGCAAAACATAACATATTATCTCTGACAAAAAATTATAAGAGCTTTCATCAAATGATTAGAGGAAATGTTTGTAGAGGTGTGATACTGAGTGACGGATATTCTGGAGCAAAGGTGTAATACAATTTGCTTTACTTGAAACATTAGGGATTTCAATTGTGGATATCAGAAGACACACAGACAATATTACTGTACTGACAGTGTTTAAAAAAATAAACTCTTGTTCTCATGTACAACTTTAGGAATGAATTTGCGGAAATCTTTGTGAATTCAACTGAATTCAATACACAAGTGACACAATCCTATAGGGGGAAATTTGGTCCAAGAAAGACTGTTGGGACTAATGAGGGCAAATTTAATTCTCTTAAAAGCTATATATATATGTAATCATCTTATGAATAGCATAAATTTAACAGCCTCTGATGTAACATTTTTACTTAAATATAAAAAATTAAATATTTAAACATGATACTGTATATCTATATCTATCTATCCATCCATCCATCTATCCACACCCACACACACACACACACACACACACACACAAATTAAAATCTACTCGTGAATAGCATAAATTCAATAGCCTCTAAACCTTAAAGGATTCGTAACGTTTGTACATTTTTTAAGTTGTTCATACATAAAACAGTTAGCATTTTTGATGTTATTAATACTAGGGATGCACCGATATGAAAATTTTGGCCGATACGATAACCGATTATTCTTTATTTTTGAAAGCCGATAACCGATATGTTGGCCGATAAATCTTATTGTACATTTCCAAACATATGAAAATATATGTATGCTAGAACCACACTTATTGTGCATATAACTGCAGATATGATTATCATAAAGCTGCTGTCTACACAACCAATGAGCTAACAGTAGATAATACTGGACAAAAGGCTTTTTGTTACATATGTTTTGTTCTCAGTGTCTTGAAATATATCATTTGGTATCACTGGGTATTCCATAGAAATGACACGGTGCATCATCATACAAAGGAAATCTAAATATTTATAAAGGTAATTTCAGCTTGAATGGTGATTGGAGCACATCAAATCCCCTAACCTATCAAATGCACTCATGCTCGTTCGGCTTCAGCTGATCTGTTTTCTGATGTGTAAAGAAAAATTTGTTAACCTGGATTATAAGTATTTAAATAGCAAAGCTGATCTAGGATCAGCCCATATAGGAGGCCCTGACAAAATAATCTTGACATAAATGTAAATATGAAAGAAAGGGTTCTTAACCTCTGTGTCCTTCATGACATCCCGGCGTTGAGTGAACAGTGCTGAGTGAATTTGTGCATGATGAGACTTCCTCTGTTTCCAGGAAGCTATATCCCTGTGCACGTTACCCATCACTACTGTGGCTGTCCCATGTTTGAACGCCATAGTGTCTGACAAACCCCTGAAAAAGACAACAAATAAAAACAAGCATGGAGGTCTAATATATATATATGGTCAGACATATATTATGAACAGTATTTCTTACTGTAGCTCTGCTATAAGATGCGGCATAGTGCTGATGGTTTGCTCCATCATGTCAGTCTCTTGCTTTAACTCTTTCGACTTCAGGTCAAGCTCCTTGATCCGGTTTGAAATCTCCTCACACCTCAATGCCATCAAACTAAGGCTTTCCTAATAACAAATAACATACTGTGATAAAAGGAATAAATATGGAATTATTTAATCCATTTTCAAGATTTAAGTAAGCTTTTTAAGTACAAATCTGCAGTATTGTTGTATATGAAAGACATTTAGGTAACACTTTACTATTAACCAATTACTTATTAGCATGCCTATTATTAACATATTGGCTGTTTATTAGTACTTATAAAGCACATATTCTGCATGACCATATTCTACATACCTAATCCTAGCCAATACCTTAACTTAACAAATACCTTACTAACTATAATAAGCAGTAAATCAGGAGTTTATTGAGGCAAAAGTCATAGTTAGTGGTTTGTTAATGGCAATAATTGGACCTCAAAATAAAGTGTGACTGACATTTATAACTCATCAAGTTTAACAAATCAAGTATAATTTGATTTTCACCTTCACAGAATTAAAACATTCCTGATAGTGCTTCTTTTTCTTCTCAAAATCATCAGAGAGGCTTCTGTGTGCAGTGTGCATGTCTCTTAGTTTGGCTTTTAAGTTTTCAATTGTCTGAGAATAAAAGAAATAAAAAGAATGAATATAAAAAAAAGAGAAAATACATACGTATGCAACTGATAACTTTAGTCACGTTTACTTAACTTAATAATAACTTGACTGGACCTTACAGTCAATATGAATCGATACTGACCCTATTTACTTTCTTAATATATTACTTTGCCCAATTCATCAGTGTTCACCACCAAAATGTAAAAACGTTTTCAACCTAATTTTTCTCTTCCTCTCATGTAACAAAAGCCACATAGGTGGGAAAATAACATTAACCAATAATATCATAGCCTAACATGTTAGATCTAATCAAATGCAAACAATGAATACTATATTTTAAGCTGAATCAGATGTACCTCAGATTTCTCTGTATATATCTGTCTCAGTTGCTCCACCTCAGTCTCCAGTTGAGCGGCTGTAGACAAAGTGTCTTCATACTTTTTCTGCAGCTCACCTTTCACCCTCTCGCAGTCTTTTTGTTCACGGATATATTTGGCTGCCTCTGCGTCCCTATTACCCTGAACATATCAATTCCAAACATGAACAGACACAGACTACTGCAACACTGACATTGCTTCTTCATTTATCATCAATTTATTTATTCATTTATTTAATCATGTAAAGACGTATTCATAAGGAACATCTGGTTTTACCTTGAGAATATCTAAGGTGGTCATTTCAGTCATTATCAGGCTCTTCATTTTGTCGATCTCTTTCTGCCCACCAAAAAGAAAAGACATCAAAATCACTCGATTAGGAAGCAAAACTTGGCAAACAAGACAAAAACTAAATCCAAAGCAGCTCAGAAATGACTACAGTATAATTCCCTATAAACATGTTATCTTAACAATTGTCAAAAGAGACCAATAAAGACATTAAACTACTGTAATCAACCAATACTGCTAAACCTCTTATGTAAAATAATAGTTTACGTAACTGTTTATTAGTTATATAAGTAAATATTTACTCGCCTTCATGTTGTTCTAAGTAATTTTTTTCTATAGAACACAAAAGGATAAAAGCTACAGCAGATGAAAAGATATTTAGTGAATAGGAACTTATATTTCGGTTCGTTCCTCAAATAAAGCCATTGTATGACTTCAGAAAACTTGGAATATAAAGTATTAGTCATATGTACTAATTTTTGGTGTTTTAATGCCATTTTTGTGCTTTTTAGAGTGTTTCACAGTGATGACACAAAAAAACCCATGTTTGGTTCCCAAAAGAACCATTCAGTGAACAGTTCTTAATTTTTTTTCTTAATTTGAAGAACATTTTAATAGACTTGAAGAACCATTTTCACTACAAAGAAACTTTTGGAAGTGGAAAAGTTTCCATAAATGTTAAAGGTTCTTTATGGAACCATCAATGCCAATAAAGAACCACTAGTTGTATGCGTTTTGACAGAATTCATGTGGAATGTCATGAGGGTGCATAAATGATGATAGAATTTTTATTTTTGCATCCAGGGGCTACACATTTGTTCATGGAGTAATCTTGCTCATAAACTCATCTGTAAATTTGAATGGGGCAGGTGTCCTCTTACTCTGTTCTTCAGCTCCTCCAGAAAGGTTTGGCGTTCTAGACAGTCCAGCTTGGCTTTGGTGTCCAAGTGTACAGCAGACACCTGGTCAAACTCGGCTTTGACCGGTTTCCACTGCTTCTCGCTCAAACCGATCTTCAGCAGGACATGCTCACGATCCTTCAGTAGCTTTCTCACAGCCTGTTCACTGGAACAAAACGGCCACAAACAACATCATAAAACACAGTCCGTCCCCCGAGATCCACACCACGATGTACAGCAGCCTGCTCACAAAAATGCTTGCACAGCATTCAGCAAATTTCACAACTGGAAATGAAAATGCTCTAAATACAGTAGGCCTATGTGACATCCAACTGATTACACAAGATGTGCCAAATCAAAGATTAATTACTGCGATAGTTATGACACAACGCTTAGTTTAGTTCAGAATGCATTACATTAATAACAAGCTGCCTGATTCTTGTAAAAACTCAAGCATTTACACAAAATTTAACAAACTGCAGTTTGTTTACAGCAATATCAGTTAAACAAGGTATTTTTAGCAGCTTTCCTCACCTAATTATTTTATGAAGCAAGCCAACTACAGCATTCAAATTCAAAATACTTCATTAAAACTTAATACCAAAATAAATATAAATACACTGAACAAAATTATAAACGCAACACTTTTGTTTTTGCCCCCATTTTTCATGAGCTGAACTCAAAGATCTAAGACTTTTTCTATGTACACAAAAGGCCTATTTCTCTCAAATATTGTTCACAAATCTGTCTAAATCTGTGTTAGTGAGCACTTCTACTTTGCCGAGATAATCCATCCACCTCACAGGTGTGGCATATCAAGATGCTGATTAGACAGCATGATTATTGCACAGGTGTGCCTTAGGCGGGCCACAATAAAAGGCCACTCTAAAATGTGCAGTTTTATCACACAGCACAATGCCACAAATGTCGCAAGTTTTGAGGGAGCGTGCAATTGGCATGTTGACTGCAGGAATGTCCACCAGAGCTGTTGCCCGTGAATTGAATGTTCATTTCTCTACCATAAGCCATTTCCAAAGGCGTTTCAGAGAATTTGGCAGTACATCCAACCAGCCTCACAACTGCAGACCATGTGTAACCACACCAGCCCAGGACCTCAACATCCAGCATCTTCACCTCCAAGATCATCTGAGACCAGCCACCCGGACAGCTGCTGCAACAATTGGTTTGCATAACCAAAGAATTTCTGCACAAACTGTCAGAAACCGTCTCAGGGAAGCTCATCTGCATGCTCGTCATCCTCATCGGGGTCTCGACCTGACTGCAGTTCGTCGTCGTAACCGACTTGAGTGGGCAAATGCTCACATTCGATGGCGTCTGGCACTTTGGAGAGTGTTCTCTTCATGGATGAATCCCGGTTTTTACTGTACAGGGCAGATGGCAGACAGCGTGTATGGTGTCGGTTTATTTGCATATAATTGGGCCTATACAGTTCATGGTATTATCCATGAATTTCAATGTTTGATTTTCCACCTTATTTTTAAGTTTTAACATAATGTGTGACGACGGCTTCCAGTTGTTTTCATTATACAAAAACAGCCCATTATGCTGCTTCATACTGCAAACTGCTATTACCGTAATCATAAACATGCTAATTTCTAGCATGAATTGGTTTTTCTAGTTATTTACCTGTAGCAGCTAAGTCTCGCCTTCTGAATCAGAAGTCTTGCACATTCACAGAAAATATCTCACATCCACATTGCAAAATAAGGTGGATAAGGTATTTCTTGTGTTCTAAATCATTGTGTTAGTTCATGCTGTGGTGCTGCTTCACAGCATTTTAATTTCAGAAGCAATGCCACACACCTACACATTTTTAATGAAGTGGAATTAGAGTTGTTGCATAATATTCCAAAAATTGTTCATAATATTTATACAGATTTGAATATCCTGCAAACTGGTCGGTGAATGTACTCTAAATGAAAACTGACTTCTTCATTTGCGTCTGTTTCCTGCCTCTCAAACTGATGTGTCTTTTTCACCAAGGCTTTGATTTGGTCGTCTCTCAATGTTAGTTTTTCTATCGACTCTTTAATTTTCCTTTGAAACACCTCACACTGTGACTGCAGCTGCTGTAACCCACTCCTGTAAGCACAGAAAGAGAAATCATGTCACTCCCCCGTAGTCCAAGGCTGATTCTAAGCTATGTTTTCCATATGAGACATTTATAAAAAGTCAACAATTTTGTGAAATAAAAGTGTGACGTAAATGTAGGTCAGAAGTATGGCATAAAATGTCCGGTGCAACCTTTAAATAAAGATAACATGAATTACAATTTGATTTACAGTAGAATATGTTATAAAATGGTTGATTTTGCATAACATACATTTTTTGATATTGATATTATAACCTGCCTACACAGTGATGGATTGGAATTAAACTGTTAAGATGGAGAGAACAGCATTTTAGTGACACCTTCTGTCTGGATTGATATAACACGAGTGAACCGAAATAAAAATATAGGCCAGTCAGTATCCAGATGACAAAAAAGGACTCACTGCTTGTCACTCAGATGATTTCTGATCGTTTCCATTTCTTTGTTCATTTCTCCTTTCCTAAGGTCTGCTCTGAATTCTTCTTTTTTAAACTCCTCCTGAAGACTCTTTAGCTTCTGAGAGATGTTTAAAAACGTCTCACTGGCCTAGAGGAAGATTTGTGACAATGTCTTTATGAATTAATATAACAGTCAGACAATTTATCATGGCAACACGGCTCAATAGTAAAAATTGCATCCCAAAATAGACAATGAGCTTCAAGGTTATTTAGCAGTTTTATATGCTTCTGTAGAAGTCAGTACTATTTCAACTTAAAAATGTTACATTTCCTGTGGTTGTTTCCTTAAACAACTTTTAATTTGTATTGCTCTAAATGTGTAGGAAAACATTTCAAATGTATTGTATTGCGTCATTACATCAGTCTTGTTATTGTAAACCAAAAGTAAAATGATTAAAAACTGTTTTAGTTAACTGAAAGCAGGAATAAAATTAAATATTAAAATGAATATAAATATTAGGTGAAAACTTAAAATTAGGAAAATTTCGAAATGTTGCTTTGGCAACTACCTAAAATGACTAAAACTGAAACAAAAATAAAATAAAGCCAAATAAGAAACATTAATAAAATAATAAAAATGATAAAATTACTAAAACTTAAGATATTATTTTAATCATTTGAATTAAAATTACATTTTAATATAAAAATAAACGAATAAAAAATATTAATAAGTTCTATAATAGTATATAAATAATACTAAAATAACACACTGGGTAGTTCACTCACAAAAAAATATAAGAACACTTTTAAAATACTTCAGTTTAGCACTCTTTATTGATGAATTCTTTGAAAACCCATGTATAGAGAAAATACATGGTCACTGTTGCGCTCCTCTAATACGTGCTGGACTCTTTTAGTTAGACGTACATCGCTTCTTCTCTTTGGTTTTGTCTTATTGATTTCAGGTCCTCTAAACAAGCCAACAAACAGGTTTCGCAATAAACACACCTCACTTTGTGCTGTTCGGATCTGCTTCATGATTTCACTCTCCAGCTGGAGTCTCTCGTGAACGAGCGGCCCGTGTTTCCTCATAAAATCGATATCCTCCTTCAGACGTCGGTTCAGCACCTCCGTGTGGGCCAGCCTGTCTCTCACCTGCGGCAACTGATCTCTCCTTATTTTCAGTTGCCATGTCAGCTCGGCGATGTCTGTGCTGCACGCTTCACGCTCTGACCGTGCAAATATAAGACAGACGGATGCGAAAAGTCAAGGATGGAGCAGAAAAGAGATTATTTTGGTAATCAAACTTTTTTAAAGACCTTATAGCATAAGTTTTGTGGCGCTCAGTCCATGTCTGTTAGCTTGAGGTCATCTATATGCTCGTGTTCTCCTAAAAGTTGACAGTCATTTTTAAAAACATACACGTCTTACGTTTCCTGGAAAATGGACCAAAATATGGATGATCTGTTTCTTTGTAGAGTCAAATTCTTTTCATTAAAGGGTTAATTCACCCAAAAATGTATATCCTTCATTGGTAATGATGGAAATACAATTGTGACAGGAGCCAATGACGTCTGTTGTATTGGAAAAAAATACTATTGAGGTCAATGGCTACCAACTCAACTGTTGGGTCACCAACATTCTTCAGAATATATATTTTTGCATTCAATAGAAGAAAGAAACTCATTTGGAACAACTTAAGGGTGAGTAAATTCAATTTTATTATTGTTTATATTATAAATTTATATGATAAATTTTCATTTTTGGTGAACTATTCCTGTAAAATGCTATATATATAATCTCCTCCCCCTAACAATAACCTAATAGTAATCATACTTTCCTAATTTAATCATTTAATTTACATAATTGAATTGTTATGCAAAAATAAAGCTTATTGGGTTTTTAAAAAAAGAAAGGGAGGATATTTTCATTATGCTGCCCCAACTTCCTGTCTCAATAGGAAATGTCAACAAAGCTGTGTTATTAACATACTATTTTACTATTTATTAATTTTAGTTTAATTAGTTTTAGTAATTTCATTGTGAGTGTTTATGTATTTTTATTAGTTTTTTTTACAAACTGTCTATTTAGCTTTTATTAACTTTTATTTTAGTAAACAAAAATTTGAAATTTTGCCTTGATAACTAACTGAAATAAAATGAAAAGAGTAAACGTTTTTTATTGTATTTTATTGTCTTTAACATTTACTTTACTTAAAGTAATATAAATTACTTTAGATTTAATTCATATTTAGCCATTTTTGTGTTTTGATTACCTTGCTGAATATTTTTGTACTGTACATTGTAACAGAATAGAATAGAATAGAATAGAATAGAGCAGAACAGAACACTAGACACTTTATTGCCACATTACTGGGCCTGGTGTAAAATGTTAGTGCTGGAAAAAACTGTCTGAACATAAATTGCATGTCATAATCAAATATCCAGTCTTACCTTTCTGCATTGCTACAGGAAACTCATTCTGCTTCCAGAGACGGAGGCTGCCCAGTTTCTCTGAAAGTTTCTTTGCTTTTTCCTTTTCTTCCTGTAGAGCCTTCTCTGCATCTCTGCGGTCCAACTCAAGACGCTTGATCAAACTCATCACCTCCATCAGGACGTCTGTGGTCTCCGTCCAGAGAGACATCAACACTCCACTGTCTATTTACAAATGAAGAAATTATTGTTAACTAAAACTAAAAGTAAAACTAAAACTATTCAATCATTTTTGTTCATTGAAATAAAGCGTGAATAAAATAAAATGCAGATATTAGATGATTTTAGAAAAACCTCAAATATAAACAAACATTAGAAATGTTCCCTGGTCAACTAAGCTGAAGTATTAAAATGACTAAAACTAAAATAATAATAAATGAAAGCTAAATAGAATAAAAATATAAAAAATAACAGAAAGCACAGCAAAATTACTAAAACATCAACTAAAATAAAATGAGAACTGAAAATATAAAAATCTTAATAATATTAATAAATATTATCATAGTATATAAATAGTTATGTATTGAAGTATAATACATAGTCATACAGGTTTGTTCTAATCCCCCACTATGTAAAGAAATCTAAGTGCATATTATAACTAAAATATTAAGGAGATTCAAGACTGTCCATCATTACCTTGTACATAAAGCCCCATGCCTTCAATACACAGCTCTGCATTTTTGCCATCAGCAGAAACACATCTAAAAACAAAAAGGAAAAATGTTATAATATTAATAAATTAAACTATTAATTCGATTTAAATTATTTTCTGATGATACGTTAGAGCCCAAATACTATATAATAGGTATAAACCCATAAAAACTGCTGACCATACGTGCTATCTTACTGGAAAAATGGTTACAACTGATGTACAGTGTGTGATGTGGAAAATCTATAATGCTTTATGGCTCACTTCCAAATGATACTGTGGTTGTTTTCATGTGCAGTTTCATGCTGAGCATTATCACCCTAGAAGACAGGAGACATTCATTATTCATTCATTATGTAATATGAGAGCAAAGAAAATATCATGCGATTCAACCCATATAACTGTGAGCTCAATCTGGGTTTGATCTGTGTGGTACTGGTTTTATGGCTTGAATCATTGTGGTTGAGTCTTGGTCAGTGATGGTATAAAATAATACAATCCATCTTCAGGTTATGATTGATTCTACCTGTTGGCCCCAGTTTTCCAGTTTGGACTTCAGTTCCTGGATGTGAGACACTGCTTTGTTCACACATGGTGCTGGAGTGCTAACCAGAGCACAGCTGCGACGCCTGCTGGAGCTAACCATCTCTCCCTGCTCTGAAACGTACAACTGACTTTGATCATAGAGATCACGAAGATCTCACATCGAGTCATATATACTGTAACCTTAAAGGAATAGTTCACCCCCAAAAAATTAAAAGTTGCTTAAAATGTACTCATCTTCAGGCCACTCAAGATATAGATGAGTTTGTTTCTTCATTGGAACAGATTTGGAGAAATGTAGCATTACTACACTTGCTCACCAGTGGATCCTCTGCGGTGAATGGGTGCCGTCAGAATGAAAGTCCAAACAGCTGATAAAAACATCACAATAATCCACACCACTCCAGTCCATCAGTTAATGTCTTGTGAAGCAAGAAACTGCATGTTTATAAGCAACAAATCCATCATTAAGATGCTTTTTAACTTCAAAAGAGTCCTCTACTCATAATATTGCTTTCTCCAGTGAAAAAGCAGTCTCATCTGTATCAGGACAGAAATATGCACAGCTCAAACACCATTTACCAGCAAAACGAGGACAACAGGGGATGGACGTTTCTAACAAAGTGTTGTTATGGATTATGGACTCGTATTTTGGCAGCTTTTCACTTCACAAGATGTAAATTGATTGGTGTGGATTATTGTGATGTTTTTATCAGCTGTTTGGACTCTTATTCTGACGGCACCCATTCACTGCAGAGGATTCATTGGTGAGCAAGTGATGCAATGCTACATTTCTCCAAATCTGATGAAGAAACAAACTCATCTACATCTGGGATGGCCTGAGGGCGAGTACATTTTCATTTTTGGGTGAACTATTCCTTTAAAGGTCAACATAAAATGGCAGGCACAATCCATTTTATATTCATAATCTGACATATTTTAGAGTGAAACAGCATTTAGAATAAAAAAGGGTGGGCTTTTTATCCAAGTGGACAATTATAGAAGATTGTGAAAACCATTTATTTTTTCATTTAGAATAATGTGCACAGATAAACTGTTCAAAATAAGACCAGAAAAATGCATTATGACAGTAAATAGACAGTTTTAATTTCTTCTTGTCTTTTGGGATGCTTTATTGTTATGGTAAGTATTAATATCTATTTATTCGATATGCTGCATGTATGTGCTTCTGTTTCTTTAGCCGTGACACAATAAGCACAATGGTTTGGGAATATATATCAAGACAAGGATCCCGATCCCTCTATACTCCATGCTTAGCAAATAACATTATATTGTACTTTACCTTGTAAGAATGCTCCTTCACTTGAAGGAAACTTGAGTAACTTTATGTCAGGCATCTCAAAAAACATCTATGAAAATCAATGACTGAATGTATCAATCAATCAATCAACAAACACTGATTACATACTATTACAACCAAAGCTTTTCTAAGCTTGATGATATCAAAATGCATTACTGTGGTACTTAGATTTTTTGTTATTTTTTAAAAATTGGTCAACAGTGGCTTTCTGTAGCATGATCACACATTGGTGTTGTGTCATTGACATTAATCAAAACAGCTCTTTAACCACCGTCTGCACAAAATAAATACTCTTATCTGAAGTTAATTAGTAATGAACGCAGGTTAAACATGGCTAATAGTCGCAAGTATCCGCTGACTACAGCAACACAACCGGTTTGACTGTGATTCACGCTCTCAGTACTTACATTATTCGCTGCTAAGGCGCAGAACGTTGAGCCACGAATGATATTTATTGTATTTTTGACCCATCAAGCGCGATATGATAAATGCTGACACATATCTCGGCGTTGTGTTCCGTCGCGGCCTGTTTCATACTTTGTTTCCAGCCCCCTCGCTTTCACCGTGCGCGCGTGGTTACTAGGCAACAGGGAGGCCTTCACTCACCGCTGACACAATAGACGAAACTGAGAAAGTGAAAAAAGCCTGTCAGGGTTGCGAAGGTTTTGATGTTGAATAGCGAATACAATCACGTATCAAGTTTATTCCGGGTCTGGGTGATGAAAAGTTTTAGGACCATTGCGCCAGAGTGAAAAATAAAAATAACAACCCCAACAAAAATAAAAAAAAATGGGATCAACTCTGCTATGTATATCCACACATATACATAACATAGCAATTTTACTACAGGCGCAAGAGATTAAATAAGAGCAAATTCTTGTTGTTGTGATATTTTTTTGTATTTTTCATATTTATAATACATAGATTTAATAAAAAAAAATATTTGTCCCACAAAATTATTTGCTCATAACATTTTGCCACATCAAATCAAGAAAAACACATTTTACTAATATTTAGTCATATTTCCGCAGAGCACTGATGTATTTTTTTATTATTATTATTATATATTTTTTTTAGCACTGATGTTTTTTTTATTATTATTATTTTATTACAAACAATTCAGAGTAAAATAGATAACATTCAATGGAGGAAAACATGATTATTACCATATAAATACTGTATACCCAATAAAGTGAAAGAAGTGCATTTTATAATTTTGCGTAATATATACCCTTGTAACGCTGTTGTGTCGAAATGTTGTGATGTAGCTGATATATGCACCTTCTGTAAAAAAGAAAGTGAAGATATTTGTCACTTATTTTTCTTTTGTAATGTTCCTATTGTTTTTCTAAAGTTAATATGAACTGTAATTGACACATTACGGATGTTGTTTGCTTTTTTGAAAACCAAAACAAATCTTTAGAATCTGCTGTTAACTTTCTTATCCTTGTGGCAAAATTCAGTTTTAACAAACAAAGGTTTCTTAAGAAAATACCTACTTTTATAGCTGTCTTATGTGAAGTAGAAGATTTAATTAAATCACTAAGAGTAATTAATAACAAAAAATGTATTTCTTTTTTTGAAGCGATGTGATGAGATCTTTCATGTACCGTGATTAATACCTGTTTTGGTTTTTTTATTTAGTTATTAGTATTTTTGTAATCCTCTTTTCTTTATTTGTTCTGTTCCTGCCTTTCTTTATGTTCATAAAAAAGCACTGATTTCCCTATTTCTTAGAACTAAATACACAAAATTTCCTTTATCTCCCAAAATTAAAGAAAATCATTTAAACATTTAAAATGGGATATATCCATCCAGTGAGTACTTAAGATTTGGATTTGATTCCAATAAATGTATATTCTGTGATGACATTGAAACCACGGATCATCTGTTTTTTCATTGTAAATATGTGGATGCTTTATGGTCTGATATTCATGACTGGCTTTACCCAAAGGTACGTTACCTTGAAAGTTTCATTCTAAAGGACATTATCTATGGACTTGTAATGAACAATAACAATGATGATGTTCTGGTCAATAGCATCCTTATGCTGGGAAAATTTCAAATTCACAAATCTAGGTTTTTGAAAGTAAAACCAGCCTTTTATGCATTTCATAATGAGTTTCTTTTGTATACAAAAACCCTTAAAGTGATAAAAAAGAAAAATGCAATAATTCTGTTTTCTATTATTATGATCTACAAGAAAAACCCTAGCCCCCCTTCAAGGAATTTACTAGGCAACAGGGAGGCCTTCACTCACCGCTGACACAATAGACGAAACTGAGAAAGTGAAAAAAGCCTGTCAGGGTTGCGAAGGTTTTGATGTTGAATAGCGAATACAATCACGTATCAAGTTTATTCCGGGTCTGGGTGATGAAAAGTTTTAGGACCATTGCGCCAGAGTGAAAAATAAAAATAACAACCCCAACAAAAATCAAAAAAATGGGATCAACTCTGCTATGTATATCCACACATATACATAACATAGCAATTTTACTACAGGCGCAAGAGATTAAATAAGAGCAAATTCTTGTTGTTGTGATATTTTTTTGTATTTTTCATATTTATAATACATAGATTTAATAAAAAAAAAACATTTGTCCCACAAAATTATTTGCTCATAACATTTTGCCACATCAAATCAAGAAAAACACATTTTACTAATATTTAGTCATATTTCCGCAGAGCACTGATGTTTTTTTTATTATTATTATTTTATTACAAACAATTCAGAGTAAAATAGATAACATTCAATGGAGGAAAACATGATTATTACCATATAAATACTGTATACCCAATAAAGTGAAATAAGTGCATTTTATAATTTTGCGTAATATATACCCTTGTAACGCTGTTGTGTCGAAATGTTGTGATGTAGCTGATATATGCACCTTCTGTAAAAAAGAAAGTGAAGATATTTGTCACTTATTTTTCTTTTGTAATGTTCCTATTGTTTTTCTAAAGTTAATATGAACTGTAATTGACACATTACGGATGTTGTTTGCTTTTTTGAAAACCAAAACAAATCTTTAGAATCTGCTGTTAACTTTCTTATCCTTGTGGCAAAATTCAGTTTTAACAAACAAAGGTTTCTTAAGAAAATACCTACTTTTATAGCTGTCTTATGTGAAGTAGAAGATTTAATTAAATCACTAAGAGTAATTAATAACAAAAAATGTATTTCTTTTTTTGAAGCGATGTGATGAGATCTTTCATGTACCGTGATTAATACCTGTTTTGGTTTTTTTATTTAGTTATTAGTATTTTTGTAATCCTCTTTTCTTTATTTGTTCTGTTCCTGCCTTTCTTTATGTTCATAAAAAAGCACTGATTTCCCTATTTCTTAGAACTAAATACACAAAATTTCCTTTATCTCCCAAAATTAAAGAAAATCATTTAAACATTTAAAATGGGATATATCCATCCAGTGAGTACTTAAGATTTGGATTTGATTCCAATAAATGTATATTCTGTGATGACATTGAAACCACGGATCATCTGTTTTTTCATTGTAAATATGTGGATGCTTTATGGTCTGATATTCATGACTGGCTTTACCCAAAGGTACGTTACCTTGAAAGTTTCATTCTAAAGGACATTATCTATGGACTTGTAATGAACAATAACAATGATGATGTTCTGGTCAATAGCATCCTTATGCTGGGAAAATTTCAAATTCACAAATCTAGGTTTTTGAAAGTAAAACCAGCCTTTTATGCATTTCATAATGAGTTTCTTTTGTATACAAAAACCCTTAAAGTGATAAAAAAGAAAAATGCAATAATTCTGTTTTCTATTATTATGATCTACAAGAAAAACCCTAGCCCCCCTTCAAGGAATCCCATCAAGCGCGATATGATAAATGCTGACACATATCTCGGCGTTGTGTTCCGTCGCGGCCTGTTTCATACTTTGTTTCCAGCCCCCTCGCTTTCACCGTGCGCGCGTGGTTACTAGGCAACAGGGAGGCCTTCACTCACCGCTGACACAATAGACGAAACTGAGAAAGTGAAAAAAGCCTGTCAGGGTTGCGAAGGTTTTGATGTTGAATAGCGAATACAATCACGTATCAAGTTTATTCCGGGTCTGGGTGATGAAAAGTTTTAGGACCATTGCGCCAGAGTGAAAAATAAAAATAACAACCCCAACAAAAATCAAAAAAATGGGATCAACTCTGCTATGTATATCCACACATATACATAACATAGCAATTTTACTACAGGCGCAAGAGATTAAATAAGAGCAAATTCTTGTTGTTGTGATATTTTTTTGTATTTTTCATATTTATAATACATAGATTTAATAAAAAAAAATATTTGTCCCACAAAATTATTTGCTCATAACATTTTGCCACATCAAATCAAGAAAAACACATTTTACTAATATTTAGTCATATTTCCGCAGAGCACTGATGTTTTTTTTATTATTATTATTTTATTACAAACAATTCAGAGTAAAATAGATAACATTCAATGGAGGAAAACATGATTATTACCATATAAATACTGTATACCCAATAAAGTGAAATAAGTGCATTTTATAATTTTGCGTAATATATACCCTTGTAACGCTGTTGTGTCGAAATGTTGTGATGTAGCTGATATATGCACCTTCTGTAAAAAAGAAAGTGAAGATATTTGTCACTTATTTTTCTTTTGTAATGTTCCTATTGTTTTTCTAAAGTTAATATGAACTGTAATTGACACATTACGGATGTTGTTTGCTTTTTTGAAAACCAAAACAAATCTTTAGAATCTGCTGTTAACTTTCTTATCCTTGTGGCAAAATTCAGTTTTAACAAACAAAGGTTTCTTAAGAAAATACCTACTTTTATAGCTGTCTTATGTGAAGTAGAAGATTTAATTAAATCACTAAGAGTAATTAATAACAAAAAATGTATTTCTTTTTTTGAAGCGATGTGATGAGATCTTTCATGTACCGTGATTAATACCTGTTTTGGTTTTTTTATTTAGTTATTAGTATTTTTGTAATCCTCTTTTCTTTATTTGTTCTGTTCCTGCCTTTCTTTATGTTCATAAAAAAGCACTGATTTCCCTATTTCTTAGAACTAAATACACAAAATTTCCTTTATCTCCCAAAATTAAAGAAAATCATTTAAACATTTAAAATGGGATATATCCATCCAGTGAGTACTTAAGATTTGGATTTGATTCCAATAAATGTATATTCTGTGATGACATTGAAACCACGGATCATCTGTTTTTTCATTGTAAATATGTGGATGCTTTATGGTCTGATATTCATGACTGGCTTTACCCAAAGGTACGTTACCTTGAAAGTTTCATTCTAAAGGACATTATCTATGGACTTGTAATGAACAATAACAATGATGATGTTCTGGTCAATAGCATCCTTATGCTGGGAAAATTTTATATTCACAAATCTAGGTTTTTGAAAGTAAAACCAGCCTTTTATGCATTTCATAATGAGTTTCTTTTGTATACAAAAACCCTTAAAGTGATAAAAAAAGAAAAATGCAATAATTCTGTTTTCTATTATTATGGATTATGATCTACAAGAAAAACCCTAGCCCCCCTTCAAGGAATATATATATATATATTTTTTATTAAAAAAAAAAAAAATTTTCCCTCTCTCTGTTCTCTCCTTTTTTTGTTGTTGTATTTGTATGCACCTGTTCTGTATATTGTAATGTGAAGATGTTTTGATACGGCCAAATTGTTTGTACATTAATGATTGTTAAATAAAAAATAAAAAATAAAATAAAAAAAGCACTGATGGTTGTCTTCAGTGGAGAGCTCCCGCATTACGTCACGTCAAAGCAAGCGAGCAGCAGAGGTCTGAGATCCGCGGCGCTCTCCGCGAGTCTGATGCGAACCTGAACAGACTTTTGTCTTCGAACGCCGAAATTGTCGTCGATAAAGCGCGTCGTTCTAGCGCAGATGGGCTTCAGTGAACGCAGAGGAGCTGAATTGAAACCCGTTTTGGCGATGACAGGCGTTTGGTGAGTAGCCTAGCAAGTGCACAGAGCTCCAGACGCCTCTCTTCATTGTGAACGCTCCACAGTCTGCTACTAACAGGCATCATGCAGACTCTGCAAGTAAGATATTAATAGTGTGTATCTGGAACATCATGTCCGAAATCATGATGTGAAGAACTATAATATTTAACTGTATGAATTTTGGGGATATGAGTACTTATAAATTCAGCTTATTTCTGCATGCATAATCTATTTATATAATTACATGCATTTGGTTGAGGATTTTAAATGCAGTGAGTGTGTGCTGGTTTACTGTTTTAACTGATAAAATTCCCCTAGGTCAGTAAATACCTATTTTACAAAGTGCCTTTACATTGTAAACATAAACATTGTTGGGATTTGATTTGCATTTTCTGTACTTTAAGTGAAATTTTAATAGTAAGACGTTTGGAAAATAGGTTATATTAGGGTGTCCATGCACAGAAAGTCAATCTGTGTTCATAAAAGTTATTTCTTAATTTGCTGTGCCATATTAATGGTAAGAAAATAGACTGCATGTTGTTTTTGAAGTGCATCATTATATTAATTCATCTAATAAAACAAATGGAGATGAGTGAGAAGACCACATTAGAAGGACTTTCCTGTAAACATGTACGTGTAAATCACAGTCTGAATGGGCTGGGAGACTTTACCCAGAGTTCTGTGCTGCTTCATGGCGGTACCATGACAATCAGAGCATACGGGCAGTTACTGTGTCTGATTGGTGGAAAAAGCAGTTAACTTGAGTAATGGTTCACTTTGCTGCGGATAGAGTTCTCATGGAATCCAATTCACAGCTTTCACAGCAGCCCAAGACGGGACTAAATGTGCAAAAGTAAATGAAATCTCTTTTCATTCAGACATTGGAATTGATTTATATTTCCATAAACGGCATTTTTAATTGCATATAAAATGCATAAATAATGGCAAAAATGTGAATTACTTAAGAAACTGTATATGTCTATTTACAATTTTAAATAGCTTATTTTATATATATATATATATATATATATATATATATATACACACACACATTTGTTTTTACTGTTTTCTCATCAATTACATTACATATAATTTTGCCCAGAACATTACAGGGAAATATATTAATGCATGCTAATGGTATATTTTTCCAATAAGGCAGTTCCATGGTGTGTTTGTTTTACCTGCATGGCGAAAGCATTGAGGGCAGCAGAGACCGGACCCTTCTCAGCCGAAATAATATAAAAACAAACATATATGTATGTATATATTCCATTTTAGCCTGTATTAATGTCAGCTTCGTCTGTTATCTAGCAATGGCGTTTCTCAAATAGATGCATTATGTGGTTTTGGAAAAATGCAATAGCATTAGCTGCTATCAGTTACTCCCACAGACGGTTTAATGCGAGTAATCCAGCACTAATTACTCGGTGAAGATACTCCGAACAGTTGCTTTGTGTAGAACATGACTTTGTCCTCCAGGTCAGATCTGTACATCGTATATGCCAACCGACGTCAAGCGCGAGCCAAATCAAAAAGCACAATTTCAAGTTTTTCATTCAACCTGCCATGCTAAATAAATCACCCACAGAGAGTGTTGAAAAATGGAGTCGGGCTCAAAATGCCTGGATGCCACCGACTGTCCAAAAAGGATATTTATAGGCTCGGAGATCCCAGAGCCACAATAAAAGGAGAAGGCGAGAGAGAGAAAAAGATTAGAAGACCGACTCTGTGAAATATGGGATCTCTCTAGAAATGTCCCATTAGAGGGCTTGAATTACAGTCTTCTCTAGCAAGCCATTCTTGCGGAGCCTCATCATTTTGCCTAATAATTTCACACAGAGAGTCTTTAAACTGCAAACAACTCCACAGGCCCTCTATTTCAAATACTGTAAATTCTCTTCTTACTGACCCCCAACTTTTTGAATGGTAGTCATGCTAACAGTTCTCCAAAGGGATTTCCCTGTTGAGAAAAAACATCTTCAACCAGTCTAAAGCCCCGTTCACACCAAGAATGATAACTATAAAGATAACGATATTAGCATCCACACCAGCGATATCTCTATTTCAAATACTGTAAATTCTCTTCTTACTGACCCCCAACTTTTTGAATGGTAGTCATGCTAACAGTTCTCCAAAGGGATTTCCCTGTTGAGAAAAAAACATCTTCAACCAGTCTAAAGCCCGTTCACACCAAGAATGATAACTATAAAGATAACGATATTAGCATCCACACCAGCGAATGGTATCGTCTGTTTATTCTAAGCGCACGTTCATCTGCCGCTTTAAATTCTCATGCTTGTTACAGCAGGATGGATTCTGATTGGCTGTCAATTTTTTTTATTGTTCATCAGCTGGAGAAAAATGGTTTTGAAAGTGACTCCAATGATATCGTTTCTCTTTGTCTTTATCGTTATAGTTGTGGTGTGGACTCTGCTATTCTTTAAAACAGAGAGCTGACACAATATTTAGTATTTCTAAGGCTCTAATCCGCTAATAGCATTAAAGGGGTCATATGATGTTGCTAAAAAGAACAGTATTTTGTGTATTTGGTGTAATGAAATGTGTTTATGCGGTTTAAGGTTAAAAAAACACATTATTTTCCACATACTGTACATTATTGTTTCTCCTCTATGCCCCGCCTTTCTGAAACGCGTAAATTTTTACAAAGCTCATCGGTCTGAAAAGCAAGGTGTGCTGTGATTGGCCGAATACCTCAAGCGTGTGACGGAAATGTTACGCCCCTTGCCATACTGTGATGATTCAAAAAAACATGAAAACCCATTATAAACGAGGCATTCGTTGCATCCAGTGGGGACATAATTATGGATTATAATGACTTATACTCTCTTTTTACGCATTGCGTTGCATCACGCCACGTAAACATAAAACCATGTCTGCATTTGTGATTGGAGAAATGACAAGCCCTACTCTACAATGCCCAAAAAACTCGTTTTAAATATATAAAATATAAAAACTCTTTAAATATAAAAAAACGTACTTACAATCTGTGAGTCAGAACAGCCGGCATTGTAGTCTACTCTACCAGGATCAGGAAACAGTCCTCCATAAAATGCGCTGCACACATCTGAATATTTGGGTTGAAGTGTTCTGGAACAGTGTTGTAAATACAACTTAACCACTGATTTCTAGCCGTGTCCATTTTTGGAAGGCCAAACAAAGTAGTTTTGCTTTCACAACGAAACACAGCGTCACGGCCTAGAGTGAGCGGCGGCGGCCTAGAATGAGCAGAGGCCGGGGGCTAGAGTGAGGAACGGCTGGAGGGCTAGAGGGAGCAGAGGCCGGGGGCTAGGGGGCGTAGACATGTGGGGGCGTGTTCGAACGAGCCGTTTTAGGTAGGCGTGGTTGACTCTCAACTTTTATAAAGAATATCTCTTTGGATTGGAGACTGTAGTCTTTGCAACTTTACAGATCTTCTTTATGCACCAAGAGCTTGTAACACTCCAAAGAGAAAGGAAAAATTTTAATCGCATCATATGACCCCTTTAATATTGAGAATGATATTTAGAACTATATCTTTATCGTTATCTTTAATGTTATCATCCTTGGTGTGAACGGGCCTTAAGGTGGTCTTTTAACCTATAGCCAAGCTGTTTAGTCTGGTCTGTTTTGCTGGTTATAGAGTGGTTTTCGGCTTTTGACCACTGGTCAAAGCCACCTAAACAACACCTTGACCATCTTAAACCAGCTAAGATTTCTTTGGCTGATTTAAGCTGTATGTTTGGACATGTACGTTCATTAGATGTGATGTTTTCATCTCACAGGTGCACTAGATCTGGACTCTATCAGACTGTCCACATACAGGACAGCATGCAAGCTGAGATTCATTCAGAAGAGGTGCAACTGTAAGAATGCAGGTGTTTTAGTATTTACTGTAATTTTATGTTTTGAAAATGATGCAATTCCATTTGCCAGTTGTTCTTTGCTTCTTGCAGTGCATTTGGTGGATATCTGGAATATTATCGAGGTTTTCCGGGAAAACAGACTCAACTCCATGGACCTCAACACAGAGTTCTCAGTGTCACATTTGCAAGCAATTCTGTCCACCATCTTTTACCAGCTAAACAAGCGCTTGCCCACAACCCACCAGATCAATGTAGACCAGTCCATCTCGTACCTCCTCAACTTCCTGTTAGCGGCCTACGACCCGTAAGAAACCCTGCGGAGTTGCCTTAAATCTGTCTGAATGTATGACATATAGTATTCACATTTCTTTAAGAGTAGAAAGAAAAAAGTTCATTTGAAGCTTAATTTCCTGTATATGGCAGCTTTCATGAGGACTCTTCATAATCTTCACTTGAATTGCTAAATGTGACCATCTAAATGTGTTAGTTGACAGTTGTGTCTTTTTCTAGGGAAGGAGTGGGAAAGATCTCGGTTTTTGTGGTGAAGATGGCCCTGGCTGCTCTCTGTGGAGGGAAGATTTTGGATAAACTAAGATGTAAGTTTCACTTTGGATTTGCCTTTGAACTGATGTGTGTTCAATGGTTTGATGCTGATTAATGGGCGCTTAAGTGAATGGACTCGATTAATCATTCTATCATCATTTTAAAGGTCAGAGCAGTTGTCATTACTTGAAAGTCACTTCTAACCATGAGGCATATTCGCCTCTCATGACCTTGTCAGTGTAGCTAAAACTTCTCACCTCGTTTCTGGTGAATCATTTCTAGTAATGACACTTTAGACTTACAAAACTGTTCAAAAGTTTGGGGTTGGTAAGATTTTTAAAAATAAATTTAAAGTCTCTTATGCTCACCAAGGCTGACACTGGAATTTTTTTGATGCATAAAAGAACATTTATTTGAAATAAATTTGAATTTGTAACATTGCAAATGTCTTTGCTGTCACTTTTGATCAATTTAATGTGCCCTTGCTGAATGAAAGTCTGAGTTTCTTTCAAAAAATAAATAAATGAATAAAATTGAACAGTAGTGTAAAAGCTGATATTTCATTGAAGTACTAAAAATGTCTAGATGTTAAATATTGTGTACAATTAAGAAGTTGTTGCTATGCTACCTGGATCTAGTATAACATAGTTTATTTAAAAAAAAAAATGAAATTGATTGCTTGTCTTTTTTCCTCAAGATGTATTTTCACAGATATCAGACCCAAACGGAGTGATGATATACTCACAGTTCGACCAGTTCCTAAGAGAGGTATTGAAACTGCCCATGACGGTTTTTGAGGGACCATCTTTTGGCTACACTGAGCAGTCCACAAGAACCTGCTTTCCGCAAGAGGTTTGAGAGGACTTTTAATAATAAAATAATAATAATAAAATAATTTCTTATTTATTTAAGCTGTCGGACACAACCATTCAAAAGTTTGGGTTTTTTTTTATTTCTTTTTTTAATTAGTATTAAAATTAATAATGATTCATAATGAATAATTATTATAAGGATGCATTAAATTGATCTAAAGTGACACATTTATAATATTACAAAAGATTTCTATTTCATATTAGAATGATTTCTGAAGGATCACTGAAGACTGGAGTAATGATGCTGAAAATTCAGCATGGCATCACAGGAATATATTACATTTTACAATATATTACAATAGAAAACAGTTATTTTTAAATTGTAATAATATTCCACAATATTACTGTTTTTTTTAGTGCATTTTTGATCAAATAAATGTAGCCTTGGTAAGCATAAGAGACTTCTTTAAAAAACATTAAATTATCTTACGGACTGCAAACCTTTGAATGTTAGTGTACTTCTTTTTTTTTTTGCATGGCATTTATAATATTACAAAAGATTTCTATTTCATATTAGAATGATTTCTGAAGGATCACTGAAGACTGGAGTAATGATGCTGAAAATTCAGCATGGCATCACAGGAATATATTACATTTTACAATATATTACAATAGAAAACAGTTATTTTAAATTGTAATAATATTCCACAATATTACTGTTTTTTTACTGCATTTTTGATCAAATAAATGTAGCCTTGGTAAGCATAAGAGACTTCTTTAAAAAACATTAAATTATCTTACGGACTGCAAACCTTTGAATGTTAGTGTACTTCTTTTTTTTTTTGCATGGAGGACAATACAACAGGTGAAAAGTTTCACAGTAAGCAAGACTTTACAAGTAAGCAAAACCCTAGCAAGCATGCAGTTGCAAATAGCAGCGGCCTTGCAATCAACAGCAAGCACCATTCACAATTTCTTTAGAAAATGTAAAAAGCAAAACTGTTTTTTTCTTATATGCACATGGTATTTATTGACTCATTTGTTTACTAACTGCTGTCCTTCCTCAGAAAAAGGTCTCGCTCAATGTGTTTCTTGACACGTTCGTGTCGGATCCTCCTCCTCAGTGTCTGGTTTGGTTACCGCTGATGCATCGGCTGGCAAATGTTGAGAACGGTGTGCTTTACGCATGTTTATTTCATTTTTGTAGCAAACCATACATAGGCTTAGCAATATGTTAGTACTTCCTTCAGCCATTCATAGCCTAAAAACAAATATTGTGACCACATTCAATTAGTAAAGTTGACTTGATTTTGCTCCTCTCTTCTCTAGTCTTCCATCCTGTGGAGTGCTCCTACTGCCACAGCCAGAGCATGATGGGATTCCGCTACCGGTGCCAACAATGTGATAATTACCAACTCTGCCAAGAGTGTTTCTGGAGGGGCCATGCCTCGGGCAGCCATAGCAACCAGCACCAGATGAAGGAGTACATGTCATGGGTAGGTGAACGGCCATGTGGGAACGTGACTGTGAGGAAGTGTCAGTGACAGCACGAGTCCTGTCATCCAAACAGCCTTTAGCCTTTGACAGTGTATGCCAGAAATCACTGTCAAATCACTGTATGCCTTTACACTAAATCTGATTTGAACTCTGAGCATTGAATTTGCCACTTTGGTAGCATTTGGTAACTTTTAGATTTTAGTCAAAGTTACTTGTGTTTGGGAAGATTTTTTTCATGTTTTTGAAAGAAACACTCAGCAAGGCTGAATATATTTGATAAAAAATGACAGTAAAACCGGAATATCATGAAATATTATTCCAATTTAAAATAACTGTTTTCTATTTGAATATGTTGTAAAATGTAATTTATTTCTATGATGCAATGCTGAATTTTCAGCATCATTACTCCAGTCTTCAGTGTCACATGATCCTTCAGAAATCATTCTAATATGCTGATTTGCTGCTCAAGAAACATTTCATGATACATTTTTTTCAAAATTTTCTGATGATAGAAAGTTCAAAATAGCAGCATTTATTTGAAATCTTTGAAATGTCTTTACTGTCACGTTTGAGCAATATAATGCGTCCTTGCTGAATAAAAGTATTAATTTCTTTAAAAAAGTCTTACAGATTTCAGTCTTCCAGGCAAATGAAATATGCAAAAATTGCTGAAAATAAATACACACTTATTTTACACAGTATTTACAAAAAAAGGTAAATAAATTATTTTACATGACCATTTTCTACCCTGTCTCTGACTATTATAATTAAACTTATTATTTGTTACTGTACCTTTAAGACCTCTATATGTAAGTAATCCCTATTCTATGAGTATTTCTCCATAAACATTTATATTTATTTAAAAAGAGCAAAGAAAATCCTGGTTTTCAAAATATGGTTCAATTAAACATATTCATGAATATTTTTATAATTTTTTTCCCTTTGTTTTGCTCCAGAAATCTCCAGCTAAGAAGTTGTCAGACGCTCTCAGTAAATCTCTGGGTTGTGCCTCCAGTCGAGAGCCTCCTTACCCGACGTTCTCCGAAACGTCCGAGAAACCACTCAACCTCACTCACGTTATGTATGTTAACTCAGACAGCACCATATCCAACACATTTTGCTCGAATAATCCTCTTAAGTGTAAAATGACTGAGTGTATTACACTGAATGTAACATAAATTGTGCATGCTAACATTGTCTTGCGTTGTGCTTTTGCTTTTATGCTGCGAAACAGGGACACATGGTAAGTAAAGTGAGATGAATAGTTTAAATATATTCTCATGTTATATGATTTCACAATATTTCGATGGGGGAAAACTAATCTTAGACACACTGATATGTTTGACACTGTGCAGACAGACACACTGACACACTTTTATCGCAGTGCCTTAATTATTGTTTGCATTTGCTCCAGGCCTCCCAGACCTGTGACCAGTGGAAATGAATACATACTCTCTCACTCCATGCCTTCCTCAGGAAACCCTTACTCCAGCAAAACGTGAGTCGTTATAGGAGTATGTTTACAAGCATAAAGCTGAGCTTAAAGCATTCAAGCCTTTTTTTTTTTGTCTGTTATGCTTTTATTTGTATGTTCGGTAAGACAGGCTGCTATTACTATTTTGTTAAATAAAAAAACTGAAATAGAATAGATTATAAATATTGTATACTTAAATGAAAATTAGAAATATTTTCTTGGTAACTAACTGAAATAAATTCGTTGAAGTTGAAGTACTAAAAATACATAAATTAAAAAAAAAAAAAAAGTCTTAAAGGGTTAGTTCACCCAAAAATGAAAATTAGGCTGCACGCGGAAACGCAGCGGAGAGATCAAAACAAAACAACAGTCACTAATTAGAAGTACAAAACGAGGATTGGTAAAAAAGAATGTCGGAGGATTTGGATATAAGCCAAGAGGAGACTGGTTTTCCTTTGCTAAAGTAAGGAAACTTTGCTTCCTTTGCTCCTGTTAACAAACGTTGGTTTTCACGAGACTCACCGGCGCATGCGCAAAGCCGACCTCATACGTCATCCTCCCGGAGCTGCTTCCAGTGTACAACAGTGAGCGCAAGCTAGATTCAAGTGATTATTACGTTTTGAATATAGATATTTTTCTTACAAAAACGCATCGATTCGCTACAGAAGGCCTTTGTTCACCCCCCGGAGCCGTGTGAGACACTTTTTTTTATGGAAGGGAGCTTTTTATTTCACGTCTTTTGGACTGATGCATGCAACACCAGCTGACTGCAATGATAGAGCTTGAAAGATTTTCAATTTTTTATATAACTCCGACTGGATTTGTCTGAAAGAAGAAAGTCATATACACCTAGGATGCCTCGGGGGTGAGTAAAAAACAAAAAAATTTTGGGTGAGCTAACCCTTTAAAAAAAACAAATAGCAATTGCAAAAGCACTAAAACTTAAAGAAAACTGAAAAAAAGAAAGGTAATTCAAAATATTATTAAATACTGTAATAGTATATAAATGCTACTAAAATACAGTAACTGCTGTAAACATGTTCTGATCCCTTTGTGGTGTGTTTTAAACATGTTTGTGTAAGTATACATGTGTTGCCTATTAATTTGTTTTATTATGTCTCATTTTGGGGGTAAAAAGAGGTGCTCATGATGAGACGAAGCAAATGTTTTCACGGACAACCCCAGATCTTTTAAAAGGGAAAGGGTAAGTCAACTTGGATGAAATAATGGCACTATTATCTGTTGTAAGCGCAACAGGCGTGTAAAGGAATAACAAGGAGTAAAGATCATCTTGTAATGGGATACATGGGACTGTTTTGAGTAGAGTAGCAGATGAAAACAAGGCTGTGAGGGATTGAAGTACAGCCCGTTTAAGGTGTTTTACGGTTTTGTCCCTGATTGGCTTTGGTTCAGACAAAAAAAATGTGAGAATATGTCCTTTGTCCATTGCAAATTTATAAAAGACTCATTTGGATTGTACTTCCATCCCACGCAACCCAATTCCATTTGCATCAAGTTAAAGGAATAGTTCACCCAAAAAGGAAAATTAGCTGAAAACGTACTCACCCTCAGGCCATCCAAGATGTAGATGAGTTTGTTTCTTCATGGGAAAAGACTTGCTCACTAATGGATCCTCTGCAGTGAATGGGTGCCATCAGAATGAGAGTCCAAACAGCCGATAAAAACAGGACAATAATCTAGTCCTTTAATTATCTTCTTGTCAAGTGATGTCATGTTTGTAAGAAACAAATCCAGCTGTTTGGACTCTCATTCTGACGGCACCCATTCACTGCAGAGGATCCATTGGTGAGCAAGTGATGTGATGCTAAATTTCTCCACATTTTTTCCTGATGAAGAAACAAACTCATCTACATCTTGGATAGCCTGTATGTTTTCAGCAAATTTTCATTTTTGAATGGACTATTCCTTTAAATATGTCATCTCAACTATTTGCATTCTGTATTATTATTAATGCATTCAAATAATTCATAATTGTATAGTGGAATCGTAAGTAGATGAGAAGTTAAGATCGTGAAGTGTTTTTTTTAGACCCCATTATTTTTCATCTCATCTGTGTTTGTGAAACATGGTTTCAGGGTTCAGTACAGCCTCGATATTGCCGATAGGCTCGCTGATGAGCACATACTTATCGGCCTTTATGTGAATCTCCTCCGAAAGGACCGTTCATGGTCAGTGTGAGCTGTCGGTCTGCTGAGGTTGCTGTGGCAGTTTTCTTCCTAATCTGTTTTTAGAGCTCAAAGGTCACCATGTCAGTCTGGTAATACCCAGAATGCAGTGTAACATTGTTAATGTCAAACTATCATTTGAGGAAACAATGGAGGTTTTTCCACAGTTTCAATGTATCTAATATAATCTCTGCATTTTAGAAAGGACACCAGATGTGGGATGGTGACTATTCTGGCCACAGTGCTGTCTTATGTTTGCAGCTTGCTAAGCTTCTGTTGTGTTTAAGCAGTGTATTTACTCTGTGTTAAACCTATTACATTTCACTGCCATAGAGCGCAGCGGTCCGGAAGTAAAAATGCCCTTCATTTTCCCCATAGAGAGATTTACATTAAGGCTAATGTATTAACGTTTCAATACAGAACTACCTTGAGCTCTGAGGGTGTATAGTGATAAAATATGCTTCTATAGAGCTTCATATGCTTCATATTTAATTACTGAACTCCCAGTGAAGGACTACACAACCTATAATCCTACACTATCCATAATTCACCAATCAGAGAAGTTGCTGTTGTACAATATAAGTTTTATAAATGCATAAAAATTAAACTCATTGACTTATAATCTATATATTTATATTTTATTTTAATTATGTCATTCAAAATAGTAGATAGTGGTGTTAGCAACACCAAGGTTATGGGCTTGATTCCCATGGAATGTATGTTGTCAATGCAATGTCACTTCAGATACATTTATAAATATAATATTCATGGAATGAGAAGTCCCTTATTATTGTATTTGCATGTACTTTTTTTCAGATTTTCATGCATTTTTGCTACAATCACATGTTGCTATGATTCTCTTGAGAGTGTATTTGTTGGGTTCATGGATTTTTAATTGGCTATGGTGAAAATGAATAGAAAAAAATACATCCATAACCAGAGCTGCAGAAAGAAAAGTGCCATTCACTGTAGTGCTCTATTGCACCATATGTATGAACACAATAGTTCAACATGAGAACTATTAATAGCATCCCTCGCTTATTAAATAAATACTGCCAACTTCAATGAATCCATCCCAAACTCTAATTTGCCCTCTAATTCTAAAGACAAACATTTTTATGGACTCCTTTGGAATAATATTTTGTTCCCATCCATTATTCAAATAGTGTAAACTTCTAATTTGATTAACATAGGACAAATATATGATTGATTATTATAGACGGGTCTTTTATGTGTGTGTGAATTTTGTGTAGAAGTGCATGTAATTTTTGGGAAGATTTGTGTCGATTTGATGTGCAAGAACAGAAAATACACAATCAATTATCCATTTTCGGCTTGGCAACTAGTCTTTAAACAAGGACATGATTATGATGGATCTCAGAGTCACCAGTATCTCTGAATGAACCGGTTATCTTTGGCTACATGTTTCATTTGTTTTCTCGCTAGGCAACATCCTTCACTATAGTTGTTTCCCAGCAAAGATTTCTGATATTATGATTATCCTTGCGTTGCTCTTAACCTTGCAGTGCTTTTTTGGGAAACTGGGGCTCTGTGGTCTTCATGATTTGCTTAGATCCTGAAATGTGTTTACATGTGCTGGAAATTCTATCATTTCTGTGATTAGGACAGTACTGGTGGATAAGTTCTCTAAAATGATGTTCTTTTGATTCATAAAGGCTATTTAAAGGCTATACAGTTGGTAAAAATGTGCATTTTGAAACATACAACAAAGTTTTGTAGCTCTATCCTTCATGCATTTGTGTGTTAACTGTGTGTGTGTGTGTGTGCACACACACATACATGAAGGTTAGCGCAAGAAAGCAACAAAACTTTGTACAGGATGAATGGCTGAACCACTAGTTTGTTTACTTTCTATGCTTGAGCTTTGCATAGGCTTCTAATTGCTATATATAGTATATATAATGTTACAGTAAGTGCTTTTGTCATTCTGAACCGGTAACTATAAAGATGACCGAGCTCCACCCTTTTCTGTGATTGACAGTTTCCAGGAGAGCTGTAAAAACCAAGATGATGAGCACTTTCTCATTGCCCGTTACGCCTCCCGATTGGCTGCTGATGGAGCTGCAGCGGTAAGACAGCCAATCAGAGCACTTGCTCAGAGAAACATTCTATTATTCATCGAATATCAATGCCATACTTTTTGTCGAGAGAAGATCCGTTTTTTTTTCTTTTCCATTAATAGATTGATGTAACAGCATTTGGATGTTTGGGAAACCCATTTGAAAACAATCATTATTTGTGCTTGTGGTGCCACAGAAATTACACACTTCTTTAATTATTATGAATATGTGCAAATAAATTCATTTAAACAACTCGTTAACCTTATATACAACCTGACAACTGTGAACAGAAGACCAGAGTCCCGGCAGACATCTCTCTCTGTCTGGACTCCAACAAACAGCAGCGACAACTTATCGCCGAGCTAGAGAACAAGAACAAGTGAGTTTGAGTCTGTTTATTTTAGTATTGCAAAGTGACTTTGAATTAGCATTCTTGAAATGAATAAATTGTGTGTTTTCAGGGAGATTTTGCAAGAGATCCAACGCCTGAGGCAACAACATGAAGAAGCTTCCCAGCCTCCGTTAGACAAAAGCCAACAAAACCCAACGTTACTGGCTGAACTGAGACTGCTCAGGTAAACACCTGCGCGCACACACACAGCGTACAGCCGTGAATCAGACCTGAAACCTGATCGGATGTGGTGAACAACAGACGCTGATGGTTATGAGATAGACAGCATTGAAAGTGAGTGTAACCTGATCATGAACGAGTGAAAGCACTTTAAAAGCAATTTGCAACACTGAGGCTCCTTCCTGTTTGTGGACGTCACCAGTTCAGATTTGACTGAGCTAAGCATGGATATTTAAATAAGCTCTAGTCTTTTGGTTCCCAATGTTTACTGTGGTTTCATTCTAGCAATATTAATTGTAGGAACATGATATTTTGGTACTAGATTCATATTAAACAATTTATTAGGGAAGTGCTTTGTGTGGCAGTTTTGGTTTCTAAATGTGTTTTTATGACTATTTCCATAATAAACACTATAGCTTGTTTTATAAAAAACGTTATTCTATTTATGGAAATTAGAGTTGACCTATTATTGATAGTCTTCTGCAAATACCACAGTTAAGAATATGATTCCCAGGGAAGAACTATGGTAAATATTTATTTGTATATCCTTACACACCAGCTTTGGTTCCTAAATGTGTTTTTATTTCTATTTTCATAGGAAACACCATAGTTTGCTTTAAACCATTATAATATTTATGGAAATTAGATTTTAGCTGTCACCTATTGATAGTCTATTGCAAATACCACAGTTAAGAATATGATTCCATTCCATGGTAAATTTTTATATTATGGTAAATCATTTTTATATCCTTACCCACAAGTTTTGGTTTATAAATGTGTTTTTATTACTATTTTCATAATGAACGTGATAGAGGGTTTTGTAAAAACCATAATTACATTTTTAGAAATTAGATTTTACCTGTAAATAAAACCTACTGCAAGTACCATGTTATAGAATATGGTTCCTAGGGGAACATTTTACATTTATAAATTTTTTTTATATTTATACATTTATTTTTATATTTTGTAATGTTGTTTTTATATATTTTTACAAACCTGCTTTTAATGATTGGCATTTCTTTAAAGTAGAAAACATCTGATACAAACAGATTGGATGAATTGTGGGTGTTATGTGGCATTATGTATCTTATTCATAAACTATCCATAAACTGACTTAACCAGGCATTGCTTGCCTCTACACCCTACAAACTGTGTTCAGCACTGGTTGTGTGGGTGTGTTTACACCATTACCTAATTTGTATAATTTATTTAATAAATATGGTGGTAAATAGCACATGAAAATAGGGTCAAAAATCTGGTTGTTTATGGATCCACAATTCATTTTTGGTTAATGTTGAAGTTATATTGATAACTGTGTGGCTTTCTTTGTCTGATTGTGTCTCAGGCAGAGGAAGGAGGAGTTGGAGCAGAGGATGTCGGCCCTTCAGGAGAGCCGTCGAGAACTCATGGTCCAACTAGAGCAGCTCATGCTTCTGTTAAAGGTGAAAACACAACAAATGAAGATGACACGGTTTTAAAAAGTTAAATTCAGAATGTAGAAATGCAGAGTTCCATGTTAACAAGCTGAACTGCTCCATCTACAGGAAGAAGAGCTAAAAAGAGCCGTAAGTCTCAGAGTCTAGTAACAAAACTGTGTGTTAATATACTTGAGCTGATTTGAGATTAACTGTATGTTGTGTGTTTGTTCTTCCTAATATTAAACTTGTGAAATGTTTTGTGTTGGTTGTGTCTTTGGCATCCAGAACTTAACATTTGTTCATTTAGTATAACACAAATCTGTTAGACAGACTACATTTGAGCATGTCAATTACATACTCTAATTCTTCTTTATCAGTTTTTGAACAAACTAATAATACATTTTGATGTGTATTATTATTTTCATTGTTTGTGCTGTTGACGTGAATGATTGGCAAAAAATGGCAAAAACAAAACACAAAACTGAGACTTGTGAGCTTACACTTTTCATCACCAATAACACCAATCATTTTTAAGACAAACAACAATTTACTTATTAGACCATTTACCTGCAAAATGACATTATTATCATTCATTAATTTGCTAATCATTATTTAATTTACAAAGATTTGACTTTGTTATTTATATGTTTTGTCACTCATTCAACCACTATGGGCAGTTCATATTGTGGGATTTTCATATTGTGTTAATTCAGTGTTATTTTTATACTATTATTAATATTTTTAATTAGCCTTGTAATGTATTTGAGTTTTTTTTAGATTTTGTCATTTTTTTAACATTTCTATTTTGTTTTAAATGATTTATTTTAGTACTTCAACTTCAAATTATTTTCTTTCAGTTAGTTGCCAAGGCAATATTTCACATTTAAACTTAAATTTACATTTTTCAACTCCACTTTAAGTAAGCTTTTCATCTAATGTTTATATTTTATTTAATTGCAGCTTTATTTCAGTTAATGAAAATGATTTTTAATCATTTTAGTTTTATTAACAATAACAGCACAGGTTTAGCATTACATTTGTGTTATCTCCTGATAATTTCCTTTTGTATCCTAGAACCAGGGCCCTGGCCCCTCCCCTCGCTCCTCCCCCAGCCACACCATCAACACATCCATCCAATCAGTGTCCGGCAATACCACACCCATCCCCATGCCCGTCCAATCAACATCCAGCAATACCACACCCAGTCAGACACCTCAGGACTCGCTCATGGGCCTGGGAGGAGAGGTGCAGCAGGCCTTCGCTCAGGGTAACAAACATGTTCCCCTTGTGTTTTCATGAGTTTCACACATTCAACCTGCCCTGACAAAATAAAACAAAGGTTAAATACACCAGAGAGTTTTTTTTTAAATAGATTAAATACACCAGAGAATATACAGGTGCATCTCAATAAATTAGAATGTCGTGGAAAAGTTCATTTATTTCAGTAATTCAACTCAAATTGTGAAACTCGTGTATTAAATAAATTCAATGCACACAGACTGAAGTAGTTTAAGTCTTTGGTTCTTTTAATTGTGATGATTTTGGCTCACATTTAACAAAAACCCACCAATTCACTATCTCAACAAATTAGAATACTTCAAATGTGAGATTTGTGTTTTTGTTCAAGCATTTAAATGAATTATGCAGCAAAGTAATCATTTTGGAATAAGATTGCTTTTCTAGATTCTGTGTAAAAGGTGCTTTTGTTTATTTACTATTTCAGTGGTAACCAACAACTAAATCACATTGAACCCAAAATCATAATTTAAACTGATAAATAAAATCAATGATTTTGAAAGAAGTCTTATGCTCACCAAGGCTGCATTTATTTCCTTAATAATACAGTAAAAACAGTAAAATTGTGAAATATTATTACAATTTCAAATATCTGTTTTATATTTGAATATACTGAAAAGTGTAATTTATTGTTGTGATGCCAAGCTGAAGTTTCAGCATCATTACTCCAGTCTTCAGTGTCACATGTCCCTCATTCTAATGTACTGATTTTCTGCTCAAGAACCATTTCTGATTATTATCAACATTGAAAACGCATTTATATTTATTTAATATTATTAAATATGAAATCATTTTACTTCTTTATTAAAGGCTACAGAAGGAACTTCAGAAATGATCTCCTGGTAGCTGCAGACTCCATAACCAACACAATGTCTTCATTGGTGAAAGAACTTAACTCAGGTAATATCGAATTCATACACATACTCGATTATAATTATAGAATGAGTCATTCTCTGATGTTCAGACTTTGCCTTCAACCATGTTTAGAGGCGGGGAGTGAAACGGACAGCATCTCTGACCTCACGTTCCCAACATCAGACGTTCTCCACGCCAGGAGCTCTCCAAGATCAGGGTAACAAGAACTGGACTGAAACAGCTGCTGTTTTCACCTGCTAACTGCCGAATCATGTGTTGTCCAGATCTCCTGGGTGCGTGTTTACAGTGTTTCTGGTCTCATAGGGCAGCAGGTAAGCTGGAGTCTGGGGATTTCTATGGACATGATCTGGAAAAGCAGCTGAACAGAGAGCTGAAGATGGAACAGGACAAGAACGTCCTGGTGAGACACTTAAACAAAAAACCTTCTTCTAGGGGATTTCAAAGCAAAAACAGTAATGCAGAAGTAAGATCAGCTTCTGTCCAAATGAATATATGTGTACCAGAGCAGAGTTTTGCATGTGAAACACTGGAATATGCATATGACTGAACCAACCATCATTAGTCATTGTTTTACTCCTATTTATAATCTTTGCATTATTATGCTGCTAAACAGTAACAAAATTAGCTTCTTAATACAATGAGAATAAGATCAAAGAATACTGAAAGGAATGTTTCCTTCCTTTTTTTCCCAACAAAATATAAAGCAGCACAACTGTTTTAAACATTGATAATAATAAATGTTACTTATGAGCAGCAAATCAGCATATTAGCATGATTTCTGAAGGATCATGTGACACTGAAGACTGGAGTAATGATGCTGAAAATTCAGCTTTGCATCACAGAAATAAATAAAAAATTTAAAATATAGTGCAATAGAAAATAATAATTTTGCAATAATTTTTCACACTAGTACTGTTTTTACTATTTTTTTGATCAAATAAATGCAGCCTTGGTGAACATTTTAATGCATTAAAAACAAAACAAAAAAATCATTTGGCAGCATTATTTTTGCCTTTCAATGAAATGATACATGCATGTAACAAGTGGTTTATTTTTAAGATAAAAACCCCAGAAAAGATAAATAATATCTCCAATGTTTCTGTATTCGCACCAATATTGTCATCTGCCCCAAAGCCATTTTTAAGCAGCAAACTTTGGATGAATGTTCTGGGAAATATGCCACCGGTGTGTCACAAGTGCACTGCATCGCATATCAAATTTGATTTCTTTTTAATTGCTATAGAAATGAGATGAAATAGAAAAGAAATATCCATTAAACCAAATGGATATTTCATTGTAATGAACATATCCCCAGGCTGCTTCCAGGCACCTGTTTTTGAGTGGCGAGATGATGTTCATTTTAACCGTGCATCTGTACTGCTGCATGCAACGTGCCACAACTATTACCCCAAATTCCTTCCATGTCATGTATGGTATCAGGTCATTTTAGCGTGGTACGAAAAGCCTTATGAGGAACACTCGAGCAATTCTCAGATCTGTTTTTTCCAGGTGACTTTACAAGAATAGCTGCGTTTTAATAAGCAATGGTAAGTATTTTTCAGTTGAGCTGTGACTGATGCAATACAACAGTGTTTGATGGTTCAAACGAAGGTTTTCTCTTTGTCTCATCGCAGGGAGGAGGATCGAGCGACTCTGAAGCACTGTGCAACCAGGCCTGAGCTGGAACATGCCACACTTCTGAAAAGCATCAACAATACTGTGGTACACAACCCAATCTATAAATATAGAAATATATTTTTAGAATCTACAAGATGTTTTAAGACAAAACTGTGAACCGATTTTGGAAATGACAAATAATGGAACTGTCTACAACACCGCCAGTGCCATAAATCCAGTGATTATGAGATTATTTCATTTCCTTGGTGTTAATGTGTTCGGGTTCGGTTTATTTCCGTGTGTATCTGTTCAAACTTGTACTATATTTAAATATCTATTGGGTGAAGTTGGGGTGATCTTTACTGAAGCTGCTATCTTTACAAACGACACTTTTATTGTACATTAAGAGCATAACAGCCTGACCTGATGCTCTTTTAAAGCATATATACATACTGTATATAAAAAGAGTAGGATTATGTTGTAGTTTCAGTTTCTCTTTGAAGGATTTGAGATTTTCTCATAGTGTTTGATACACAAATACACTGCCTTAGCTTATCAGACTCCGTTTATTTTAATAGATGGATAGGTATGTGTACTTTGTTGCAATTTGTTAATTTTTCAAGACATACATTTGAATTAATAAGAACAGTCCAGAAACAGGTGAATCTCATATGTCACCAGTTCTTTTTTCCACTGTTATTTTAACATTTACGTTTTTTTTTTTGTAGGTTTATTTATCTTTATTTGTAATAAATTCCCAAAAATAAAAATGTAATATGTTTTGCATAAAGAAAATAAATCCTGTTTTTAAGAACATTACTATTTCTCACATTGTGACAATTAAGCACAACGTTGTAATACAATGTGTTTATTTAAGTCAGCCTAATAATTTATTCATGATATATATATATATACAGTATACACACATATATTCATTATTGCAGTATTATTTATTTAATTATTTATTCTCTTCATGCAAATTATATTGCATTGTTCTGGTTTCTTTTAGCAAAATTATTTTTTTCTTCGGATGTTAGAGTCTATTGCATGTTTTTTTGACAGGTTTCATGAGATTCACCCAAAACTCTGTACCTCTGCATTCAGTGGAAGATATTATTTGACTCCAAAGAGCACACAGTACATTTACCATGCTCTATTATTCAACTTGCAATGTTTTAAGAAACAATGAAACAGACATTTTTGAGACAAATATATGAGACAGCATCTGACACTACTGAATGTGCTGTTATGTTGAAAAAGCATTATTTGGTGTAAGATATGTTGATCTAGAAGAGAATTTTCATGCTTGATTTGATTTTGTCAGTAAATATGATTCCTTGTAAAGACCGTCTGTAGTAGACGGGTTAAGGAAGACTGGTTTGGCTTTGACCATCTCCAGACTCTTTCATTGATATGTTTTCTTTGATATGCTACTGTCACACTGCAGCGCTCACATTCTTCTCACGGTTTACTCCAGACGGACAGACAGTTATACAGCAGAACTACAACAACAACAACAAGAAAAGCAGCATCTGCACACTGCTGCCAACCATTGCACTTTTCAGTGATTTTGCATGGAACTAAATAATAATAAAAAATATTATGTTGTACAAGTATCAACATCAATGTCATGTTACTGTTATTTTATCAAATCTATATCTGTCTCTATATTTTCCATGTCTTTAGAGTTTGTTCCATGTTGGTTAAAGCTCATCTTTCATTTCAAATGACTTTGCACACAATGCTATTTTGAGTCGTCATGTGTTGATGCAATATACACAACGGCCAGTAGATGTCAGTGTTGAATAATTATTTTTCCCATCGGACAACAAAAATCACATTAGGATTTAGAAATGATCAAATTAACTTAAATGTAAATTAATCAAATTGAATTAATGACATAAAAAAATAAAATAATATTTATAAAAAAAATTATTTGATTTAATCATTTGGGACGTTCTCACAACTTTAATTATAAATAATCAAATTATTAATAATGAAAGAATTATTTTAGTATTTAACTCGTAATTTAACGTTTTTATTTTTAGAATTTTAAATGTTATCGTTTTTAATATGTTTATGTAGCTTTTATAAATATTTATATTTATATTTCAGTTTTAGTTATTTTAGTACCTTTAGTGAAACTAAAAGAAAATGAGAAATGTTTAACTGGAAACTGGTTGAAAAATAAGCTTGTATGTGCACGCGCGTGTGTGTGTGTGCATATTTTATTTTATTTTATTTCAGTTAACATTTATTATTTTTCAAGTAACTCAAATGTTTTTATGCTTTTACTTTTATTTATAATAACCTTGTGAATGAGACCCCTGTCAGGTCTACATTTGCATGTAAATAGGCTTTAAGTGATTATTTTTACTACATGATGTGGCTACTACAATGTGACAAAAACGCCATGTGTTTTATTTTGTAAATATTGATTTATTAGACTGTCTGCTCCCCATTATTTAGGAACCTGGAATCTTACAATGAAACAAAAGTAGATTATTTGGAGACTTCAACATCCACCTAGATAAACCTCAGGCTGCAGACTTCCACACTCTGCTTGCCTCTTTTGAGCTCAAGCGAGTGTTAACTACGGCTACTCACAAATCAGGCAACCAACTGGACCTTATTTACACACGACACTGCTCCACTGATCATGTGCTGGTTACTCCACTGCACACCTCGGATCACTTCCTCCTCACTCTTAACCTCAACATGATACCTGACACAACACATACCCCTCCACATGTCACTTTTCTACGTAACCTACGCTCTCTCTCACCCTCCCGGCTATCTGCTATGGTTTCATCTTTGCTTCCTTCCCTGAACAGTTATCATCTCTTGATGTTAACTGTGCTACTGATACTTTCTGCTCCACTCTTACGTCTTGTTTAGACAGTGTCTTCCCCTTGTCTTCCAGGCTAGGTCGTACCACCTCTTCTGCCCCTTGGCTATCTGATGTTCTCCGTGAGCATCGTTCTAAGCTCAGAGCTGCAGAAAGAGTATGGTGCAAATCACAAAATCCTACTGACCTTAATGTATATCAATCACTCATCTTCATTCTCTGCTAATGCCTCCACTGCTAAAAGGACATACTATCACAACAAAATGAACAATTCGCCTAACTCTTGCATGCTCTTTAAAACATTTTCCTCCCTCGTTTGTCCTCCTCCTCCCCCTCCGTCATCAACTCTAACAGCTGACGACTTTGCCACATTCTTCATTAATAAAATTACAAACCTCAGTGCACAATTTGCCACACCACAAAC